CATACCTAGCCAGAATGCACCGCCACCCGAACCTGTCGTTGTAGATAACGAAGAAGAATACTTTGTGGATAGCGTCAAAGGTCTCCGCTTTAACAAGCGTAGAAAGAGACACGAGTACTATGTAAAATGGACTGGTTACAATGAGTTGACCTAGGAACCCGCCTTGAACCTGAAGGATAACGCAGCTGTGGCTGCTTTCCACGAAAGATTTCCTGATATCCCTGAACCTTTATCGTCACGATCGACGCTCGCAGGAGCTCGAGAATAAGAGGGGGGTACTGTCACGGTAACCACCGTGGTTCCCTTGACACTGAACGCGCTACAGAATCCGAGTGCTCCGCCAAGCACCAGGATTCTGCTGATTGGCCGGCCGGGCCTAGCGCCATGCGCACGGCCCCCATCGATAACTTCTCACCGCCTGTACATGCTGATTCTGTTTCCTTACGCAACGTCTTGTATTACACCAGATATCGTACGTAGCCACAACTAACGCTTCTAGTAAGCTCTTAAACACGTGCTCGTAGCATCTCGTGACATCGATAGAGAAGAGAACTACAGGTAGCTAGGGTTCTGAAGGTCGTTCAGGGGGCGGCGGCTCGGGATAACCGTCCGCCGGGCTCGCTTGCACAGAATCCGGGTGCTCAGGGGGGCACCCGGAATCTGTGGACAGTGCGCCTCGCGCACGTGACCGAGATATCATCGAGGATTCACCAACTGGGCTCCAGCCCATCACAGCATGTACATGCTAGTTCTGTTTCCTTACGCAACGTCTTGTATTACACCAGATATCGTACGTAGCCACAATTAACGCTTCTAGTAAGCTCTTAAACACGTGCTCGTAGCATCTCGTGACACTCGCTTAGGTGCGTCACTTACTTGTAAACTACGTTAGTTAACTTTAATAACGTGCCCACCGCTAAATGGCGCACACTACTAAAATGGCGCACCTCTACATAAAACTACCTTTGCACATTAATAACACTCCACCACAACATGCAATAAAGGCGTACAATAGCTAGAATTAATCCTCTACTTCTACTGCATCTTTCTTGCATGTGCGCTTGTTATGTCCTGCCTCGCCGCAGTTCTTGCAGCGTCGGATACCTCCTGCACTACCACCTGCGCGCACCCTCTCCTGACGCCTCTCCACCTCTAACTAGATCTTAACATCCCTTTGCTTAACTATATCCTCTGCCTCTGCCTGCGATAGGGTCCCTCCCTTCTAGATTCGCTTTTTCTTGCGCTTTTTACGTTTAGATGCTGCCTAGTTTGCCTCCTTAAGGTTGGCTATTCTAGCCTCAAGCAACGTGTGTAAGTGCACCTTTAAAGTTGATCCCTTTTTAACCTGCAGCACTATCTTAATGATAGAATTAGGTAATAATTCCTTATAGTCTGTTATCCTCTTGACAATCAGCGTCGTTTGAGCCTCTATCTCCCAGGCGTTGCTTGGTGTTTTAGGTTGCTAAGGGGTAGGCCCTGGTGCAGGTGGTGTTAGCGTACGAGGCTGTACTTCAAGCCTAGATAACACTACATCTAGGTTATGTGGGACTAAGCTAGTTGCTCGAAAGCTTAATAAGATATTGTTCTTTAAGAACGCCTTGTTAAATATTGGCTTGAAGGCAGCTAGGAAGGCTTTCTTGTCGATGTAGTGGATGTAGCTGTCTGCTAAGCCCCTAAGTTCCTTCTTGTACGCCTGCTTTAGCGGGGCAAAACAACCCACATTAAGTGGCTGTAGGATGTGCGATAAGTGTGGAGGCATGCAGAGAGTGATAATATTGCTTTGCTCACACAGATCCTGGAAAGCGAGTGACTTGTAGCTCTCGTGGCCATCAAGGATAAGCAGGCGGTAACTACCCACTGTTCGAGCTTCTGTATGCTAGATAAAGTGCTGTAACCAGGCTAGACCAAGCTCGTTCGTTGTCCAACCGTTGTTACTAACACCTATCCTCTAATCTTTTAGGTTGTTGTGATACTAGGCCTAGTCGTGGTGCTTTGCTTTGAGGATAAGGAATGGTAGAATTGACCACCCCATCGCGTTGATGCCAGCGATCAACGTTACCTACTCACGATCGCTAGGTTAAACTCTAAGTAGCTTGAGGCGTCTCTCAGAGGCTGTTACTACTTTAACAGACCCTCCGATGCCTATCTAGAAGCCAGTCTCATCAAAATTATAGACGTCTTCGTCCAAGATCCCATACTTAGCCTTAACATTGCGTACAAGATTAAACCAGGGCCTAATAATAGCTGGGTTGCTGCACAGGACTCTCTGGTGATCCCGCTGTCTTGTCACCTAAGATTTGATCTCAGGTCTCCGGCGTACAAGCCTGTAGGCCTAGTTTTCTCCAACCTAGCCACCACTACGTACAGCTAGTAGTTGATTGGCCATCTCTCGTACGTAGCTGAGCGTAGGGGCAAATCCTCGCGCGTTAAGCTTCCTGATAGACTGTATAATCGCCTCCTCTTCATGCCTCTGCAGCTTTGATGCATTGTGGTGAGTATTGTGATCAGAAGCTGGTTTGGCGCGTTGCCTTCGAAGGGTGGTTTCAGGCACGTTGTACACAGCAGCAGCACGTCGCAGGCTTAATGACGCGTCGGATCTCATAGCCTGGATAGCAAGGATAATTCTATCTGTCCGGGGACGTGATCCAAGATTAGGTTGTTGTGGCATTGTGGAGATGGTAGAAAGTGGTGTGGTCTTGGCACAGTGCGCCATTTCAGTGGTGTGCGCCTGTGAAGATCGTCCGAAGATGATCTAGGGTTGGTTCTCGGGGAGTGAGTGGGCGACGATGGACGAGAGGGTTGTACTAGCACGATTGGTAGATCGATATAATAGCACGAGGTGTGTTAGCACGATTGGTAGATCGATGTAATAACACGAGGGTTGAGAATCAAGTAGTAATCCTTAGATTGAGACTTAAGTTGAACACAATGACCATAGGGGTGCATTGTCTACTGTCTATATACTAATGAGTGTTGCGCTCTTGTACGAGCGTGTGAGTGATCGTGGAAGAGCGATGATGTGGTGTCCCAGTCATTGGCTGACTGGTGTCGCTCGTAGAAGAGCAAACTGCTTACGGTTTGGCGTCATCAGCTCGTGGACGATCAGTCACGTGACTGCGGCGTAGTTACTGTGCCGCAATCCTTCGACTGTGCCGTACGATCCTTCAAAGTGCTTACGCTGACCCCCGGGTGCCCCCTGGTTCAGATCGTAACAGCGCCATTCAGCGGTGGGCACGTTAACTCTTTTCTATATAAATTACTAGACAAACCGCACGGCTTACTACTTTAGTCTACCTCGCCTTAGTACAGACTAAGCTTAGAGAAGTATAGCCTATGTAACACGGGATAACAGAGGCTGAACGAGGGGGACGATTATGGTCTCAACATGTTTGCTTTTCTCGTAATCGCCTTGGCCTCCAAACCTGCTCATAAGCTGCGCCCCGCGCGTTAGCAGAGGGGCAAGAATTATTCTCACGACCTCTCCACCTAGTGTAGTAATACAGAGCTTTCCCCCACTATTCTCTTGTAGTGTGAAGCAAATACTATTGCCTATAACTACCCCTCACAGCCTAACCTCGTGTAACAACTTGCTTATAAATTACGTTAAGGGTTTAAGAATTAAGTAGTAATCCTTAGATTGAAACTTAAGTTAAACACAATAAACTATAAGAGTTTATTGCCTAATACTATATACTAAGGGTGATAGTTGTGATAGTCGCGAGCGCGACTATTGGTAGTGGTGATAGCCGCGCGCAGGACTAGCGATAGTCCTTGGCGTAACTATCAGTTACGTGACCGGGCCTTCCTTCGGGTGGCCTGGCGCCTAGCGATACAGTCCCTGTTCCGCTGTGCCCAATGATGAAGCCCGTGGCTGTAGTTCGTAACAGTGTTACGCTCTTGTACGAGCGTGTAAGTAATCGTAGAAGAGCGATAATGTAGTGTTCTAGTCATTAGCTAACTAGTGTTGCTCGTAGAAGAGCAAACTGCTTATAGCGTTATTAGCTCGTAGACGATTAGTTACGTGACTGCGGCGCTGTGCCGCAATCCTTCGACTGTGTAAGGACATAGCCTCTCCTTAGCTACTACTTACTACGAGGTTTAGAGCTAAGGAGTAAAAGGCTACGTCTTACTACGAAGGCGCAAACTACTAGACCTTCGAAGGCCTAAACTACTAGACCTTCTACGGTCTAGTACGCCTTCGCTTCGCTTCTCTCTCTAGGCTATATAAGTACGCGTACGCTCTGCCTCTTCTAGGCTCGGCGTCTGCTATTTTCTCTACTCCGAATACAAGCTTCTACTCAACCAGTTCGCTCTTCTGCGCGTGAAGTCTGCCTTACAGACTGTGCCGTACGATCCTTCAAAGTGCTCACGCTGACCCCTAGGTATCCCCTAGTCCAGATCGTAACACAGAGGCAGAGGATATAGTTAAGCAAAGGGATTTTAAGATCTAGTTAGAGGTAGAGAGGCGTTAGGAGTGGGTGCGCGAAGGTAGTAGTGCAGGAGGTATTTGACGCTGTAAGAACTGCGGTGAGGCAGGACATAACAAGCGCACATGCAAGAAAGATGCAGTAGAAGTAGAGGATTAATTCTAGCTATTGTACGCCTTTATTGCATGTTGTAGTGGGGTGTTATTAATGTGCAAAGATAGTTTTATGTAGAGGTGCGCCATTTTAGTGGTGTGCGCCATTCAGCGGTGGGCACGTTAGCTTCAGTCCTACGTTCGATTGGCCCGGAAGCAGTCGGAAGCAGTCAGAAGCGCAATTGCTCATTCGTCCAGCAAAACACCGTTCCTCCGGAGCCCAGCTCCTACCTTTAACCCACCATCTTCCCCACTCCATGCGACCCTTGCTTCAATGTGATCATAAGCAGAATACTCCCAGGTCACTGATATATAAACCATCCGTTCGGCCCTATCTAAAACCACATCTCCAGAGCTTCGCATTCACAAGTCCTTCAACGAAAAATATAAACATAGTACATTGTTTCTATCTCACGCAAACATGGCCGACGGCTTCGCAGCAGCAGACAAGTCCAAACCATTCATCGCAAACAACAGCCTTGCCAAAGACCGGGGCTACAGAGATGGACTCCCAACAGCAACCTGTCTCTGCGGCGGCGTGCAATTAGCCTTCGTAAGCCCACCCCACTCCCTCTCCTCCCACCCGCATACTCCAACCCGCATCACTCTACTCACTAACCCGCCCACCAGCCCGTCGAAGGGCCCGGCCTAATCAACACCTTCGTCTGCAACTGCACCGACTGCCGCAAACTCACCGCCTCCATGTTCGCATCCAACTTCGCCATCGATGACAAGTACCTAGTGCACGTGCGCGGCCGCGACAATCTCAAGTCGTGGTATAATCCCGTCACGCCCGTGCGCCACGAGGGCTCCATGACAGACTACTTCTGCAGCACGTGCGGGACCCTCATGTACCGCGTCAGCTCGGCGTTTCCCAATGTGCCTATTTTGCGGATTGGCTCGGTGGACGATTTGAGTTTGCATGAGACGAAGCTGAAGCCGCAGTGGGAGCAGTTTACGAAGGATCGCGTGAGCTGGTTTGGGGGTGTTAGTGGGGGTGATGTTAGAAAGATTGAGGGCAATTCGAAGACGTATACGCTTTCTGGGGGATAGGTGCGTATAGTTGTTTGGTAGTGTTGGCGGGGCGTGGGAGAAGTGGTGGTGGTGGTGGCCATCGATTGTGAGTACAGTACCAGAAGATGCTGCTTGGTTGTGTTTTGTATGTTTATTCTAATACACACGTTATTCAACATTCTATGTCTTTGATGTATCTCGTAAGCTCAGTAACCCAGACTTTAGCACTCCCAAGTAAACACCCACAAACAACAAACCCTCTATCCAACCCATTCCCCCTCCCCCTGCGCGATCCGTGAAAACCCCCTCGCGGGCGACGTGCGAAAAACACTTTGAATCATCAGGCCACACGATATATCGGGATTCTTTCCCAGCAATCCGCAACATACTATAATTGATCCAGACATACTGCTTACAGTGTTCATCGATTAATGATGAAGGGAGGCATCAGCATATCGTTGTGGAATAACGATGGAATGGATTGGGGACTAACCGTTGCGATGGGAAAAGTGTTAGCAGCACTTATGTACGAGTTTCTTGCTCGAGATTGACAAGGAGTAGGATGCAAGTAATGAACACACCTACACAGCTTTTTAAACGCTGTTGCTAGTTGGTAAACAAAGCCAACATTGGCTTTTTAGCTTTAGGTAGCTAATAGCAGCCAGATCAGCACGCTTTTGTTGATGTACCTATAAAAACTCGTGTTAGGCAGATGTTAAGGCTCGATTTTAGGCGCATATTATATTGTAGTTATCTGCATGCGTTGATCTAAGAAATTGAGCAAGGAAAAGTACATAAAGGATACTTGAGGCAGAAGTAGCCTGTTTTGATCTGTCAGCACGGCAGTGGTATGTCACCACTAGTGTCCATCAGCATGGCCGACCCGCACCGGCCCTGAACTTGCCCTAGGAGGCGGTCGATTTTGCGGTGTGAATCATGGTCTTTGAAAGTGGTCGTTGGCGCCACCAGTGGCGGTGGACGCTAATGCGTTTTGAGCACGGTCTCCTCCAGCCGCAGATCATTAATGGATCTAACCAGGTTCCGGGAATGGACTCACTGCCGGAACCGAAATGGGACCCATGGCTAGCACAGAGAAATGCTAGAGAGGTTCACTTGTGCTGGTCTTTTGAGGCGCCAGCTAGTTTCTCCAGAACAGGTCTAAAGAAACCCCCCAGTACCCGTCCTCTCTCTCGTCCATCCCATACTTCAGTACATTCCCATATACAATCGGGTGCCAGAAGTCTGTTCGCGCTATGCGCTCGGGCCACCAACACCACTATTATCGCAAACTTCAAAGCTATGCAACTCTATAGAACCATGCTTAAATATCTAATTGAGGGCAGCAAATTAATCGTATTAATCCTAGTATTTTGTTTAATACCCTTTTGCTTGTTCAACAGCGTAGAGGCAGTGCGGCATTAACGTAATAAGCTTTTTAATTAGAGTGCTAGGTATAGCTACCCACGCCTCCTTTAAACCAGCTTCAAACCTCACCTACTCCTCTAGCGAGTCTCCTATTGTATCAAACTTAGGATAGAGCTTATAGACCCTCCTTTTAAGCGCCTACCATACGTGTTTAATAGGGTTAAGGTCAGGAGAATAGGGGGGCCAATCAATCGTTGCAACACCATGCTCCTCGAGCCAGCCTCTTAAGAGCGCAGCAGTGTAAATAGGTGCGTTGTCCTGCATAAACCACTCGCTAGGTCTGTAATGATCAGTGAGACCCTTATCGAGAGCTTTAACGTAGCTAGAGGCCGTATATCCGTTGCGCGTTAATGATGTATCGCGGGTCATGATTACCAGAGGACTACGGCCAACTCGACCTCCTGGTGTCATCCATATCACGCCCTAGATCATACGCGCAGGCTGCCTAGCAGTAGAGACCTCCTCTATCATCTTGTGTGACCATTTATCTACTAGTAAACGCCATACCTATTAAGTGTTGTAGCTAGAGCCTTAGGCGAGGCTACACTCGTCACTAAATTTAAGAGTCTCCCTGCGCCAGTCGAAGCTACGCTAATCCTAAGCAAACTTAAGACGTTGTTTAGCGGTAGATCTATTGATTTTTAGTCTGCGCTTTGCTCGAAACTTGCGGTAGCCCTCCTCTTTAAGGGCGCGTTGCACTGTACGCTTTGAAACGTTAGGGTAGGCCTCCTGGCCATCCCACAGGCCAGCCTCCTTAAGGAGCTCACGGTACTCTATACCAGGGGCTTTTTTAGCGATTCGAAGCCGTCGACGACGGTCTCTACTAGTTAAAATAGGTGGACGGCCTGTACGATCGCGCGTGGTGGTGCTAGAGGTGGCCTCCCATCGAGCTATCGTTTTCTGTACAGCGCGTTGTGTGCAGCGGAGCGCGTTAGCGATTTCCTTAGTTGCTGCACCAGCCTCTGCCTGCGCTAAGATAAAATCGCGTTGGCGTTCTGATAATTCACCACCTGGCATTCGATTCCCCGAAATTTCGGCGCTAAATGACCTCATATTGATGGAGTTGTGTGGTGTTGCAGAAGATACCTATCTTGTGATCTCATGTTGTTGTTCGGTCCGTGCGTTTAGCGCGAACGAACTTATGGCTTAGTACAGTAACTTAAGTAACCGAAAAATTCCACGTATGGAATCCGTACTCAGCCTCTCAAACCGATCCAGATCTGGACCTAAAACGTGCACACCGCTTCTCCCAGATACCAGATTCTCACGCGGATATGCGTAGTAGATGGAATGCTCGTGTCCGACGATAGTAAGCGCAGGCTCGATAATCGTCGATGGTTCAAACGAAGTTTGCGAAATTCGCGCTAGCTCTTGCTTTTTGCGCAAGGATGCGGCGATCCATATACTCATCTGGAGCTCCGCCTCTATGTGGTCTCCGGATGCCGGCTCAATCTCAAAGCCAGAAAAGAGAGCGGTCCGCCTTGTGACTGTATCGAGAGTGCGTCCGATATCCCTGTTATTCGCGGCGTCTAACCCTTTGTAGAGGGCTGGGATCTCGGGGTGACGATGTGAGTATGAGAGGACGTAGTCGGTTTTGCGGTCCATGGATTTACGGCGGCCGGAGTCGGTTGGAGAGGGTGCAGGGACCGTGGAGAGGTAGAGTGAATTAATGGGCTGCGATTGACTAGAGTATGATGAGTAAGCCATCTCTTGAGGGTTTTAGGAAAAGATGCACATACACACTCTGGAACCACCATCTGTCATTACCGTCCGATTTAATTGCCAGATGAACCAGAGGCCGCACCACATCATCGCACCACGCATTCTCATCTCGACCACCATCCTTGCAATCACGCGCATTGAGGAAGATTTTCTTGGCTTCCTTCCATATATTCGATAGCTCCTCAGCGGAGCGCATGTCACTACAGTCGAAGTCGGCCGGTTTAGTGGTTTAGCGGCCCACTTCCAGGTCGTTCTTGATGGCATGCTATACAAATGGGAATTAAACTTGGGAACATTGAGTCAAATGCAAGTACGTACCTGCAAGCCCTGAGGGATGAAGCCAAAATCAATGCCCTCGGCAAGCCGGTCACCGAGTCGTTCAGCGTGCTCTGGGGGTGCTTCCTTTAGGCCATTAAGGCTCTCTATTAATACTGGCGGGTATGCATTTCTTAGTATAATAGGCGTCTCGCGCGACGGGCTTGATGAACGTTTCGGACTCGAGGAAACACGACTAGCGGAAGGGTGGAATGTGTTTCTTTCGTTTGGGGACAGTGAAATGTCGCTTCCAAGCTGCGACGCGCTTTGTTCAGGCTGAATATCATCGATGTTGTCAGTTCTTCGCCGCTTCGGGCTGTCGCTGTGATATGAGCTAGAGGCAGGCGTGTTCGTGGGGAGGGACATGGCGCGCTTCCGCTTCAAGGGAACGGGACGCAACTTCGAGTCGCCGTCGGACGGAGGAGTGGGAGGGAGACGGGCTCGCGCAGAATCAACCCATGCGCTGATGCGATCGCACTGAGCTATACAAAGACTTTCTAAGACCGTTGTTGTGGGTGTGCGGGTTGTCAGATGGCCTGTTGTTCGACGCGGCACTAGCGATGCGCGTCAGAGCCGGAATACACCAAGTCGCCGATTGGTTGATAATCACGTGTGATATACTCCGTATCATCCATCTGGATAGGGAGTGGTATTCTTCGACAACATGACCCTGTATTAGCCTCGCAACAATGAGACATTTAAATGCTCATGATCTCTTCTTATCCACTTTCAACCTTGACATGTCCCTCCGCCTAATACTGTATCTAACTATAGTGTTAAGAGAGGATGTTCGTCTCGGATAGGGTGTTGCACGGTTGCTGGGTTAGCTAGCGTATGACCCGCTACGAGACAAATGTGGCTTACTACTATTCAAGAATTTCCTTTCTGTGCAACAGCTTTGGCAATAAATTTCAAAGTCAAATCATCCTCACAGAAATGAGAAATTTGTAAATCATGTACTTGGATGACGGCTCACAACTTTTGTAAGCAGTTATAGATGAAGTTGAGACTAGTTGTCTATCCTGTTGAGATGCCCGTGATATGAGCTTAAATACATGGAGTAGTGGGTTGATTGGTCGGTGGATTATCCACGTGACTGTGTAAGGTGCCCTGGGCTTACAAATGAGCTTAGTTGTTCCCATGTCGGACTGTACCTCCCCATGGTATACACTGCTTCATCTGGGGAAATCCCCTCCAAATGCACAGAACTGCAGCCGTCAAACTTACAGTAACGACCCAGTAAAGCCAGACCCATGATGATACCTTGGGGCCTTGGTTCCCCGGACTGAAAAGCGTGGCGACGAAAGTACCAGGAAGGAAGAGAAGCGTGACAGCGGCAATGACCCGCATATCAGCTCCGTAACGGTGGTTCAGCGCATTATCTTGCTGCGCCAGAAGAGCATATACCTAGAATTAGATTAGTTAAACCAAGGATGTGATACGGCAGATGAAATGTTGTACCATTTGGACTTGTACTTGTATCGACTCCTTCAAGTAGTCATTTCTTCGCTTTGTACCATCCACAACCTCTCGCATCAGTGTCAAGTGATCTCTCATTCTGACAATCAGATCTTCGTCTTTCTTAAGCTGTTCCTTCTCAAGCTGTTTATCTGAACAATCTATGACGACCTTGGTGGCTAACAGTGATGCACTGTTGCTTGCACCGGCATTTGCAAAGGCAGTGAGCCTTCGTGACATTTCAGAAAGATCAGGAGCTGTGTATTTGCTTTCTGGGTTGAAGTAGAGATTACAGCCCATCGCCTCTCGCACTGGAAGGAAGTCGTTGTAAGAGGCTGAAGCCTTGGTTAGTAGTACTTGGCCTGTGGCCTTCGTTATAGCTGGTTGGGATAGGCTGCAACCCTCGGAGCGTTGTCGGGGCTTCATCGGCGCTCCACGGACCCTTAGAAGTTTCTCGAACCTAGCACTACGTGATACATAGACTCAGCGCAAGCGTAGTGTAGCTTCTCTATCGAATTCATTACTGTTATACCTTGCACTTATGGTCAACCCATCGCACCCTTACAGAAAATATCTGTTCTGGATCCCAATCTGAATCCTCTTCAGATTGCTCGCGGAGGTGTAGGATAGAAGCCTGTTGAGGCTGTTCAAGGCGGTCCCAAACGTAATCGAAGGCGTCTGCTCCATCGAGCTGGTCTGATCGGAGCTTGGCTCTGATAGATGGTAGCCAAGTGCGCAGCGTGTGCGGCTTACCGTCAAATTTAGGTGGGTCTGGTAAGCGTACTCGGGCTCGCGTCTGAGCAGCGTTCTGGGACAGGTGGATCTGGTTCTGCAGCTGGGCTACGCTTTCGCGTAGGGAGATAATCTCAGATCGCTGGTTCTGGAGCTCCTGCTGGAGCTGCTGCACAAGCAGCATCAAGGCGTTCGGGTTCTGGCTAGGGCTGGACATAGTTCTGGTGAGGGCTAGACGCTTGTCTGATCTCCTCTCGGGCGGCGGGTGATCGAATACAAAATGTAAGGGGCTACGCTTAGGGAGCTATCGCACAGGTATACTAGAGTTGTATTCGATAGAGAGCTAAGCTCTAGGCTACGTAGCTATCTATATATACCTAGGTGTAGAGCTGGAAGAATTATTGGCCGATAACGTCCGAGCGCCTATCGGGCCGAAGAAGGAGAAAACCGAGGTCGTAGACGAGGATAAGAGAGCAAAGGGCTCTAGCCCGTCACATACTCCCTACTCTTAAGAGTAGGCTCCTTGTTTCTTACTCTTAAGAGCAGCCTTCTCTGTTTCTTGCTACTAGGGGCAGCCTTTATTTCTTACCCCTAGGGGCAACTTTGTTTATTCTTTGCCCTTAGGGGCAACCTAACCCTACACTATTATCACGGTTTGGGCATAGAGTATAGAAGGTTAAAAGTAGCAGGGACTTAGCAAAGTGCGCATTTTAGTGGTGTGCGCATTTTAGTAGTAGGACACGTTACTATTTAAAAAACTTCTTAAAGATACTAATTGCGAGTCAACGCCGATTTCATCCAATCATGCACTCCACTTAGCTGTGCTACAATACTAATGAAAACAAACATAAAGTCAAGGTAACATAGCGTAATAGTGTTTCTTCTTACGTTTCTAGGAATTTGTTATGCGCGATGGTGTTGCTGCCTGTAGTGTTGATGAGCAGGTCAACATCGTTGTGACGTAGAATGTTATGGATAACCACATTGCCTGAGGCTTCAACCTTCCTGCGGAGAATACTGCATGAGAGGCTTGACTCAGGAACGCTACATGCCTGGTCGAAAACAGCGAGACCTGCAGCGAGACCATTGTTGGTCTGTCCTTCGATAAGGTTGCTAGAGACCTCGGTATTGATGGCGCCGTCTAGAATGATTCCGTAGGTGCCAAAGGCAATTTCTGGTGGCAGCTCTCGGCAGTCGGGATTTGTCGCGCTGATGTGGTTGTAACGGACCCGGGCGCCTTTGATGCCGGGATCGACATAAATGCCCATACAATTATCGCTGACTTTGTTGTGTTGCACGTCTGCGCTTGCGGTCTGAACGCAGAGTGCGATGTCGTACTTGGAGATGCGGTTGTTGGAGACATGGACGCCATCCAGGTTGTCCATACAGAGGGCAATGAACCCTAACTTCTTTGATGAGCTCAGCGTGTTGTTGGTGACTTGGGTATTGATTGAGCCTGCCGTGAGGAACCCGTAGAACTCGCCGTCGGTGAGCAAGTTTTCTGTCACTCGAGCGTTCCGCGCGCCGATCACTGCTATGTTGAAGCCGGAGAAGTTGCTGACATGGAAGCCACTAATTGACACGTCCTCAACCGGCTTACCCACCGAAAGAACCTTACGGTGTTCGACGACGAACGAGGCCAGGCTAACGTTAGACCCCATTACACAGATACCCGCCTGCGTATCCTTGCCGGCCAAGTCGGAACATATATTTGTAACAGGATGCGAAGGTGGGACGAGAATGGCCCCGAGTCCAACCAGTGAAATCCCATCTGTCTGGATTGTCAGCTGCTCAGTGTAGGTGCCGGCTTCAACAACAATCCGATCCCCAGGAGAAGCTGCATTAATTGCATTCTGAATGAACTGGCCGCTCTGGACGTGTATGGTGCGTCGGCCGTCTCGGACTGCGAATGTTAGCAGTCTGCTTTTGCGATGCTGAGAAAGTAGTCAAACCTTGGAGGCTTGTAGGATTGAAAAGGCTTGTAAAGGGAAAAGCAGCCACAATGCCCAGCAGAACAGCCACGATAAATCCTAAGCTGAGCTCCATAGTGGGTGAATCCTGTAAGAGTAGACCTGTTTTAACTATGATCTTGTAGGAGATGATAAAGGCAAATAATTAGACATTGGGAAGGTGTTTATATATACTGGTAAAGCAAACACTACCTCTTGTTAAGAGCAACTAAGCATCTTGCGAGTCAGAGACAGATATTCACATTAGTAACTCTAACTATGTCTATTCGTCCGTAAGTATATTAGGTTGAGACTGACCCCGTGTACGGCTGAAGTCAATTTAAGTTTGCCCGCATATAATACTGTGCTGTTATCACTAGCGAGTTGCTTGCAGCTAAGCTGGAGAACCTCCTGGATGCGTACTCTGATCGATCGCCCTAATAGACACTGATGCTACTTTACTAACTTCGAGTTTCTGTCTCTTGTTGTGCCGTTGAGCTCTCCAGCTCACATAGAATGCTAGGTATCGCTTTAATATTAGTTGTATACAAAGAATAACGTAGTCGGCAAGCGAGCTACGCAGACAAGTGAGCTACGCGCTCTACCCTGCATTGCATATAGATTGGAACGCGTCGTGTAATATTAGTGGGCTGACCTCTCGCCTAGGTTGATCGTTCGCTTGGGCTACCCTGCTAGCTAGTGAACCACGTTAGTGTAAATACCTAGTACGGCTAATGAGCGGGCTAGCCTCATTAGCTCGCTTACTAACTGTTATAGGCGGAAAAAGGCCTGCTAACGAGTATGCATTTGCTCCTATGTACAGAAGAAGAAGGATAAGGAAAGGAAGAGTAGCGTCCTCCTTATACGGTATTTATCCTCTGTGCACTAGTACAAAGATAGATAAGCAGGAAGTTCCTTAGCGTAGCCTCTTGTTACGAACCTGAAGGAAGGGAACCTGCAATCTATGTATGAAAAGGATGACAGGAAACACCCAGGCGGGTCGGCCTGGAGGTCAGCACTTTGAGGGCCAATAGATGACGCTACCCCGCAGGGCACGTGATCCCACGGTCTTGGCGGAAAGCCACTGTAGGACAAAATCACGTGTGTCTCACGATGTACCACGGAGTACTACGATGTACCACGCGTAGGACATGTAGGACATGTAGGACATGTAGGACATGTAGGACATGTAGAACATGTAGGACATTCATTGAGTATATAGTACTAGGCAATGAGCTCTTACAGCTCATTGTGTTCAACTTCGTATTTAATCTAAGGATTACTACTTGATTCTCAAACCCTCGTGTTATTACATCGATCTACCAATCGTGCTAACACAACCCCGTGCTATTATATCGATCTACCAATCGTGCTAGTACAACCCTCTCGTCCATCGTCGCCCACTCATTCCCGAGAACCAACCCTAGATCATCTTCGGACGATCTTCACACCTCTTGTGGCACTTAGGCGTAGCCCCTTACAATACCTCCCCTCTCCCTCTTTCTAGATTGTACGGCTAGTTAAGTTCTAAGTAAATCTAGTTTCTATCGTACGAGACCAGTAATTAGGTAGCTGCCTATTCCTAACCCCGCGTTTTGTTTGCTTAGTTGTAGGGTTATTAGCAGTAAATTCGTCCTTTACCGTACGATTGTCAGCCTCGCTAATACTGCTCCTATAGTAAAGGTAGAATCTAGGGCTCCTCCTCAGATATATAAGAGCTACAGCTCTGCCCTTTCTTAGTTATTTGTCTTGTTGCAGCAACTCCTCGTACAGCAGCTTGTTACAATGCCTCTAAAGAACGCTCCTACTCCCGCTCCTGCCTGTAGCTCCTAGGCTACTAGCGGCGTTAACTACCTCTCTTTCGCTCTTAGTAGTAGCGCTAACAGCTTGTACGCTACAGCTACTATTAACATTTAGAATGTCGCTTATTGTCTGCTTACTTGTACTTACCCTAGTGCTGTAGTACTAGTTATTAACGTCGCTAGTCCTATTAACATAAACAACTACTAGGTCTAGTACATCCTCGATAGGGACGTTGCTAGCGAGCTTCGCTGTGTTATCTTAATAGCCTCCGTACGTATTATCTAACTGTCACGAGATGCTACGAGCACGTGTTTAAGAGCTTACTAGAAGCGTTAATTGTGGCTACGTACGATATCTGGTGTAATACAAGACGTTGCGTAAGGAAACAGAATTAGCATGTACAGGCAGTGAGAAGTTATCGATAGGGGCCGTGCGCATGGCGCTAGGCCCGGCTGGCTAATCAGCAGAATCCTGGTGCTTGGCGGAGCACTTAGATTCTGTAGCGCGTTCAGTGTTAAGGGAACCACGGTAGTTACCATAACAGTACCCCCCTCTTATTCTCAAGCTCCTGCGAGCGTCGATCGTGACGATAAAGGTTTAGGGATATTAGGAAATCTTTCGTGGAAAGCAGCCACAGCTGCGTTATCCTTTAGGTTTAAGGCGGGTTCCTAGGTCAACTCATTGTAACCAGTCCATTTTACATAGTACTTGTGTCTCTTTCTACGCTTGTTAAAGCGGAGACCTTCGACGCTATCTACAAAGTATTCTTCTTCGTTATCTACAACGACAGGTTTAGGTAGCAGTGCATTCTAGCTAGGTATGTGATTGTCTTCTTTGGCTGCTAGACGAAGGAGGGATACATAAAATACAGGGTGTATCTTTATAGATTTAGGTAGATAGAGGCAGTACGCATAGGAGGAGACCTTCTTGGTTATTCGGTAGGGTCCTAGGTTCTTCTAGTCAAGCTTCTTTAATAGTCGTTGTGTTTAGATGTTACGCGCATCTAGCTATACCTTGTCGCCAGCTTCGTAAGCTAGTGCAGGTAGGCGTTTACAGTTCGCGTATTCTTGCTGCAGGGCTTGCGCCTATGTCATTTCTTCGCGGATAAACTTAGTAATATCACGCATCTTATCGATCATTATATTTACATCCTAGGCTTGTAGGGCCTAGTAGGCGGGACGTGTCTTGTTCGTGGGCAGTTCAAAACCTATTTAGGGGTTCTAGCCGTAGCAGGCTATTATTAGAGATACTCCTGTAGATTCTAAAACAGTGTTGTTAGCTTCGAATTAAGCAATAAGGAGCCACTAGACCTAGTCGTCTTGCTAGTAGTTCGTGTACGCGCGTAGGACTTGTTCTATCGCAGCGTTAGCGTTCTTAGTTTGCCTGTTAGTTTCAGGATAATAGCTAGTTAAAAAGCGTAGGTTAATCTTTAGCTAGCTACATAGTTCGTTATAGAAGGCAGAGACGAACTGTCTGCCTCTATTAGAGACAATCGTGTTAGGAAGGCCGTAGTTGCACTAGACGTAGCGAAGAAACATGCGCGCTACGTTAGGTGCTTCTATCTTGCTACATAGTATTAGGTAGCGGTATTTAGACAAACGGTCTACTACTACCATCACGTTCTTGTATCCTTCTAATTTAGGTAGGTCGACCACGAAGTCAACGGAGATATCTGCCTAACGTCGTTTAGGAACGGGCAATAGCTTTAATAACCCGTAGTACTTCTCTCGCGACGCTTTAGAGCAGCGGCAGGTGTAGCAGCAGGATACGTATCGTCAGATAGTCTTAAATAGCCGAGGCTAGTAGTATTCCCGTTAGATAAGTTCAAGTGTCTTTCCTCGGCCTAGGTGGCCGCTAGAGGGAGCATCATGGACTGCACGGAGGATCTTGATTTTTAGTTCGTCGTCGTCAGGAATAACGAGCTTATTCTAGTAGTATAGACGGCCGTCGCGGTTCTTACAGTCGCTTAGGGTGACGGTCTTTAACCGTCGTCTACCGTCGTGCAGCAGTTGCAGAGTTTCTTGTATAAACAGGTCCTTAGGGTAACCGTTAGGTGCTAACTAGTATCCTTCTTCGATAATCTATTAGATAGATCTATTAGTCTCTACTAACCTAATTATAGGAGGATTCTAAAAGAGTTCTAGGCGCAGCAACGTTTGCTTACGAGCTTCTTAGGCTTCCTCTTGTGCAAGCTAGTCTTACGAACGTTAGGTTAAGGCATTAGGCTTCTCGCCATGCTTGCCTAGTCGGTACGTAATTGTAAACTAGAATCAGGAGAGGTATTCAGACCATCGAGCCTGACGGTAGCTCAGTTGCTTCGTAGTTGCGAAGTACTATAGGTTCTTATAATCGCTAAGTACAGCAATTAGGAAGGACGCGCCCTCTAGCTTAGGTCTCTACTGTTCAAAGCAACAGACGATAGCGAGTAGTTCCTTATCGTAGATTTCGTAGTTATTTTCCGCAGGGTTTATCCTCTTCGAGTAGTAGGCTACAGGGCGAAGCGTACCGTCGGGTTCTGTCTAGGAGAGGACACCTGCCGTGACGTAGTCGGAAGCGTCTGCTTCTACGATAATTAGGAGGTTAGGATTAAAGTGTCGCAGTATTAGTGCAGTAGTGAAGGCGCGTTTTAAGGCATTAAAGGCCTTCTAGCAGTCGTCGTTAAAGAGAAACTTAGCGTCCTTCTTAGTTAATGCTACAAGCGGAGCGGCTAGGTAGGAGAAGCTATCTATAAACTGTCGATAGAAGTTCGCAAATCCTAGAAAGGCTCTAACGTCCTTGACGTTGTTTAGGTATTCCTAATCTACGATAGCTTAAACCTTCTTTAGGTCTATTTGTATTCTATCTACTCTAACTACGTAGCTAAGGTAAGTGACTTTAGTTTAGTGGAACTCGCACTTGTCTACGTCTAGTTAGAGCCTAGCTTCCTTAAGAGCGTTTAGAATAGATCTAACGTGCTCCTTGTGTTCGTAGAGGGTCTCGCTATAGATTAGGATATTGTCAAGGTAAGTAGTGCAGAATATGTCTAAGAACGGGCGTAGCACGTCGTTCACGAAGTGCTAGAACGTACTTAGCGCGTTAGCTAGTCTAAAGGGCATTACAAGATATTTAAATAGCCTATATCGGGTACAGAAGGCTGTTAGCTATTCGTCTCCTTTAGCGATGCAGAGTTAGTTAAAGGCAGCAATAATGTTAAGCTTTGTGTAGTACTTAGCCTTACTTAGTTAGCTTAGGGTCTCTTAGATTAGCGGGATTAGGTAACAGTTCTTAACAGTAACTGCGTTTAAGGCACAGTAG